ATAGATAGATAGACTGAGATCTCAGTGAAGATACTTCGGAAAGGATTGGAGACAACGTGTTGGTCAGAAGAAGAAAAAGTTTATTTTATTAAGTCATGCGTAGTGTACTGAAAATAAACTTTTTACCAGCACTCAACATCATCTGCTGTGAATAATAATAATAATAATAATAATAATAATAATAATAATACAATGTGCAAAGACTGGAAAAGATGTTAAAAACACTGGTATGAACATCACCCTACATCGAAAATCGAAGACATCTCAATTCAATGGGATCACACTATTTTTACTGGCAGGAAGATTGAAGCAAATAGGCCTGACATAACTGTCAAAAACTGAAAAGAAAAATTTAATTGATATGGCCTGCCTAGACGGCTGTAACTTAGCAACCAAGGAATTTGAAAAACTATCGAAGTAAGAAAAACCTGGAAATCGAAATAGAAAAATAAATGTGGAAATTGAAAACAAGAATAGTCGTAGTCTTAGTAGGTGCGCTTGGAATGATAAAAAAGAAACACAACACATTGAAAAAATACCTTGAAATCCCAGTTTAAGAGAAATACAAAAAATTGTCTTGATAAGTAGAGTCCACACACTAAGAACTTTGTAACGCTAGTGATGTTATAGGAGATGGATAAACAAATCATGAAATGTAGCCATAGCAACACACCACTACCTGCCTTAAGTCTTCTCGTAGACTTGGTAGATAGTGTGACCATAGCAGAAATATAATTATAATGATGACGACGATGATAAAAATAAAAGCCTTGGCTCTGAATTCGGCATTGCTTTTATGAATTCCAGTCTTAGCAGATTGGAGGTGTTTTACATGTGTATATTTTCTCATGGTGAATTAAAATGGGCTACAGTAAGTATCTTGTTCAGGCACCTCAGACTTGCTTGGAAGTTTCCTGACAATAACCAGTTGGGTATGTCTCCCTAGGGACTGAAGCTCTGTGCATCCCGGTTCACGATAGAGATAGTGAGGAGTATCATAGCCAAGTGTCTAGAAGGTTTTCTTCTTTTTAAATGATGAGGCAGTCAAGGCGACTCGGGAGTCACATCTAGATACTTACGCACACTCTTAGTTGGAAACCGTCTGATCGCATTGGGTTACCCGATCTGAAGGTGTTTGTAAGTGGGCTCTACCTACAGGGTTAAGCATTGTTGTTTTTCCCAAAATCTGTCACCATATCGGTCATTGATGCATGGCATATTGTTATCAGACCCGGATCATGATAGATATATTGGGCTTCGTATATTTGCACCTCAGCGTCGCTTTGTTGGCGTGATTTTCTCTTACTCAATAATAGTATTTATAATAATATTGGTTCTTGTATTTAGTATCTTTATAGAGTCGGCGTCGGTAGAAGTGATGCCTGAGTAAAGATTATTGCCTTCAATGTCTTCTTCTTCTTCTTCTTCTTCTTCTTCTTCTTCTTCTTCTTCTTCTTCTTGCCCACAATTTCTTGTACTTTGCCGCCCTTAGTAAAATTGGTCTTCTTCCTGTATCTCTTAAACCGTGTTCTGTCAAACATTTCCGCAAGCTCGTTAGGTTATGTACTGCTTTCCTCTGTTACTCCTTGCCTTTAATATGTCATGTGAGTGTCAAATTTTGCAAGCCCTCTTTTTTCATGTACCCTAGAAATTTCAACTGTCTCTTTCCGATGTTACGTGTAAGTGTCATTTTTGTTTCCATTTTGTCTAAAGCTTCGTCATTGCTCACCTGTTCAGTCTCAGTATTCTCCTGTAGAATGACATTTCTGTTGACACAAGTCTCTCCATCTGTGATGAGATGGTACAGCATTCACTACCATATAGTAAGACCGATGTTACATAACAGTTCAGTACTCTTTTCTTTGTTTCCAATGCTGTCGGTAATAATAGTGAAGCCACGTAATTCTTTAAATCTGTACATGAAATAAAACTTACAGTTGAGATGTTAATATAGTCGACATTTGCCGTTAATTATAGAGGAACTATGGATTCATGGATAGCGGTTTGGATTGAAAAATCGGAGAGCCGTGTTCGAATTCGAGCCGGTTTAGTTACATTTACTTCTGTGTAAATAACCTTGGGAAATGTATGGATCCATTTCTCCACCCCTAGGTATGGCTAAATAGCAGAACAAACTGGTTCTTGGGTAGGAATTGGTGTAGAATAAACACTCTGAATCCCAAACCTCCACCTGCGGATTAAATAGTCTAACTAACCCATAGTTGGTCAAGGGGTGAGTACAGATACACCCCTGAAGACATGGTCGATCATGGAGGGATCCCTTTAACAGTAGTGTGAATGTCGTGGATCTGGATATTGGAAATTTCTATGAAAAAACAGAATCACAAATCCTCGAAACCAGGAATAAAAACTACGAAATTATAACGATAAGTCATTATTTGAAGAAAAAAATGTCCTTTTATATGACTATTGAGCGATACTTTAATTGAATTATCACTGTATTTATTTTATATTACCCTATTAAATTACTATCAAGTTTTAGTCTAAATATAACAGCCGTTTTGTTGGTCTATCTACAGTCCCAAATACATGGAATTAGGTACGGGTGACGTAACAGTTAACTCTAGTGGGAATGGAATCGGCGAACGGATTTCGAGCTCTGGCTAGGGCAATTTGCGTTCAGTTCGCCTTAAATTACCCATCATCATTATAATAATACTAATACTATGGTCCTTTCGTAATTATCATATGATAGCATAATATCTTAAGATATTAACCAGTTTGACTTGTACGTCTGTGTTGATATTTATAGTTATCTCATATATGGGTGCCACCATGTCTGGAACGCAATTTCACTGGTGGATATTAATACTATTATACAGATATATGTTCCTGCCTATCTTTTCTCGGTAGCAGTCATCGGTAATTCTGAGAGAATTCTTCATCAAAGAGTTTTAAGTTTTTTTTTAATTCATCATTCAGTTTTTTTTTTTTTTTTTTTTAAAGAAGACATTTTCTAATTTTGAAGAGATTCATATCGTTTCAAGAATTGTTAACAGTATTGAGCACATTGATTTTGTTTAAGATCCATTCTGCAAATTTTAGGAACGATATTACCATTCGAAGAGATTCTCGGACTATTTATGTCACTCTTTTTTTGCTTAAGATCCATTCCGCTATTTTGAGGAGAGTTACCATTCCAAGAGTTGCTTGATCTCCCAAATTTCTATTTAAGATTCATTCCTCAATTTTGTGGCGAGTTACTCTGCTCTTTGAGAGAGTTATTTCTGTTTACTGGGACTATAAAAGGACACTATACGCGAACCTTGTACTCTCAGTTAAATCAAGTGCTTTTCCTGGGTTGAACACGGGCAACCCATCCTGAAATTAGAATAGCTTAGGTTTAATTTTTGAATCTTTACTTTCCTTTTTTCAGTTAACTTAGCTAGGGTATGTATGCTCATTGGCCCCTTTTATTTCTGTCCCTAATTTTTCTTTAAGTTTAATTCTCCATCCCCTCCCGCGTTAGTTGGTCAGTGACGTCAGTTCTCTGGTGGATGCGGGACGACTTTCGTTTCGTGTGTAATTTTTCGTATTTCTTTTTGTATCTGAATGAGTGTGTGTCTATGTGAGTGCTTGGGATGAATGAATGTTTTTATTTTATTATAGTCCCGCATTGATTTAGTCCAATTAACTGATGTTTCTGCCACATTTAGTTATTGTGGTGGGGTATTACTAACATGATTTTGTTTAGTTTCTTGTAAATAGTTTTATTTCATATTGTAAATACTCATTGGAGCTAGTTTTTAAAATTATTTTATTCCCCTCCCCGTACAGACGATAAATTGTACATATGGGGACTACTTAGTATTTTCATGGAAACATTGAGGTATTATGGTGGATGTAGTGAGAAAGGTACGTAAGAATGTGTTGTTATGGTGTAAGGAATATTATTTGTTTGATTGGGTCAGTATTTGTGGCTAGCTAAGTTTTCCTATTTCCCCATTTTGGCCTTGTGCCATATTTTCTGGGTTTTCAGAAGTAAATAATCTCATTTAAATCAAGCTTTCTTAAAGCCTACACCTGCGTACTTTTGTATTGTACAAATATTTTTCACATATTAAAATGGATAAATGGGATGTTATGAGTAATCAAGAGTGGTCTCCCCTTGTTTTGTTACTATCCACTTTGAGAGAGCTATTTATGTTTACTGGGACTATAAAAAGTCACTATACGCGAACCTTGTATTCTAAACTGAATAAAGCCTACACCTGCGTATTTTTGTCATTACATAATATTTTCAGATAATATATATACGAGTTTCAGTCATATTTCTAACTTTTGTACACCCTCCCCATAATTTTGTCCATTGGTGTATATTATGTCGCACTACAGATATGACAACGTGATATGAAAATATATTGCATATACCAAGATCTCGTCTTCTATGAACGACGCCATAACTAATTTCGACACTTAATAAGTAGAACGAACTCAAATATAGGTGTCTATAAAGTTCATGTGCACTTTAAGAACATTATAACTTTATATTTATTTGCGATAGAAATAATTTGTAAAAAGGATTAGAAAGAAGTAAATCTCCATTTTATTTAAATTTTATTTAAGTTTCTACGTGTCCTCCATCATTAGCAATACAAAGGGTGATACGATTTTGCAATTCACGGAAACCATTTGCCAACCTGATTTACAGTAATTCCTAAAATCACATTAGTTATTATAGCTATACTTAAAACTAGGTACATTATACTTTATAACAATCTTTACAGATTCTTTCTATCGCAAATACAAATAAAGTTATAATTTTTAAAGTGCACACGAACTTTATGGACACCCTGTATATAGTCATAATGATGTGACTAAAGAATTCAAATAGTTTAATAGAAGTTACTACTTCATGTTACCTACTTTAATTGTCACAGGGAGGGGGGGTCCCAGGAAATCGCGATAAAAACTAACAAAAATAAGAGAACTTCATTTGGAAATTCAGATAATTTAACTGAACTACTTTACTCTGGATTACAGCCATATCCCGTTGAAACACCGGTTTCTATACGATCACCGAAGATAAGCAACGTCAAGCCTGGTCACTACTTAGATGGGTAAGCGCTAAAGAATACCAGGAGCCGTGAGCTTGGATGCGCAATAGGTGTAGCTTACGGCCAGATCACGTTGAAATACTGGTTCCTGTATGATCACCAAAGTTAAGCAACTTCGATTCTGGTTAATACCTAGATGAGTGAGCGCTAAAGTGTACCAGATGCTGTGAGCTTGGATGCGCAAGAGGCGTGGTTTCCGGCCAGATCACGTTCAAGTACCGGTTCCAGTACGATTACCGAAGTTAAGAACTTCTTGCCTGGTCAGGACATACATAGGGTGATATATGGGTGAGCGTTTGGGAATAACAGGTGCTATAAGCTTGGACGTGCAGGTGGTGTAATGGATAAAGGAATTGTTAATCTGAGAGCCGTGTTCCAATTCCCGCTGGATTCGTTATATTCAATTAGGAAAGAGATGAACCCACCTCTTCTGTCCCAAGCTATGGGTTAATTAGTAAGATTTGTACCAGTAAATTAGTATTATCTTCCTCCCAAAATTTTTACAATGTAAATATATTTTTGGTTAAATAACCTGCAAAGGGCTGATAAGCCGTAAAAAGTGTGTCAATCAATCATAGGATTCATGTGTGAGGTCCCAAAAGGTTTACTTTGAAATGGATTAACGCATCATTACCATAGGAAAAGTTCTTTTTGTATTTTTTTGATATTAAATGGTTAGATCATTTTTGTACAGACCTTGTATACTGACACAAATGTTTGTTTTTGATGGTTTAGAGTTGCGAGAATATTGGATTTCAACGAGGACACCTGAGTAGCGTCTCCAGTTTCCTGTCTTCTTGACTTCATCGTTGGGGGCTCTCGTTACGATTAAAACGATATTTGAAATGGCGGATTTCTTGCATTTTGAAGCTTCATCGAACATATTTGGGGTCGTATTTTTATTATCCAGCACACACAGTCACACAAACAATTATGGACTATAATTTGAAAATGTATTTCTTTTTGCACCAAAAATTCCTAATCTTAATTACTGCTTTTGGATTTTGGTCCTATACCTCAAGATTAGTCCAGGTCTTTAAAGTGTTCCTGTTATAATGTTTAATAATCGAGGAATGATTGCATTAGTCATCATTTCATGCAGCACAATTGAGGCCCTTTGCCAGACTAAGATAAGGAAATATGTTACAGGCTTTCACCAGAACAATGCTAGATTAGAGATTTTAATCATCATAGTGTACTCCAAATTTGTAGCCCAGTGTCAGACTAAGATAAGGAAATATGTTACAAGCTCCAACCAAAACTATGCTAAAATAGAGATTTTAATCATTATTGTTTAATCCAAAAGAGTGGCCCTGTACCAGACTACAATTAGAAAATAAGTTTAAAGGCTACCGCCAGAACTATTCTAGAATATTACTGAGTACTCCAAAATAGTGGACCTGTGCCAGACTAGGATTAGGAGATATTTTTCAACTCAAACCAGAACTATGCTAGAAAAGAAATTTTAATCATAATTGTTTAATCCAAAAGAATGGCCCTGTACCAGACTACAATTAGGAAATAAGTTTAAAGGCTACCACCAGAACTATGCTAGAATATTACTGAGTACTCCAAAATAGTGGACTTATGTCAGACTAGGATTAGGAGATATTTTTCAACTCAAACCAGAACTATGCTAGAATAGAGATTTTAATCATTATTGGTTAATCCAATCACGTTGAAATATTGGTTCCTGTATGATCACCAAAGTTAAGCAACTTCGAGTCTGGTTAATACCTAGATGAGTGAGTGCTAAAGTGTACCAGATGCCGTGAGCTTGGATGCATTATAAGATGTGGCATGTGTTAGACATGTTTAGGAAATATGTTTCAATCTACCGCCATAAGTATGCTAGATATGTTAATCATTATTGGGTACTCCAAATAGGCGGTCCTGTGTCAAACTAAAATTAGAAAATAAGGTTCAAGCTCCCGCCAAAAGTATGCCAGAACAGAGGAATTAATCATTGTTTACTCCAAAATAGTGGCTCTGTGTCAGACATATTTAGGAAATATGTTTCAAGCTCCCTCCAGAACTATGCTAGAATAGAGATTTTAATCATTTTTAATCCAATCACGTTGAAATATTCCCTGTATATCACCAATTAGTGGCTTTGAGTGTAAAGTGTACCAGATGCCGTGACATGTTTAAGATGTGGCATAAATTATTTTCAAATATGTTTCAATCTGTATTATGCTAGATATAAATCATTTTAATCAAATCATTTAGGGTCAAGCTCCCGCCAAAAGTATGCCAGAACAGAGGAATTTTCATTGTTTAAAAATTGGTAGAAGACATATTTAGGAAATATGTTTCAAGCTCCCTCCAGAACTATGCTAGAATAGAAATTTTTATCATTATTCCTTATACCAAATTAGTGGCTTTGTGTCAGACATGTTTAGTAAATATTTTTCAACCTTCCACCTGTATTATGCTAGAATAACTATTTTAATCATCATTGGGTCTCCAAAACAGTGGCCCTTTTTTAGATTAAGATTTAGAAACATGTTTCAAGCTCCCACTAGAACTATGTTAGAATAGAGATTTTAATCCTCTTTGGGTTCTCCAAAATTGTAGCCCTGTTTCAGACTAAGTTTAGGAAATGTATTTCAATCGCATGCCAGAACTATGCTAGAATAGAGATTTTAATCCTTATTGGGTACTTCCAAAGAGGGACCATGTGTCTAACATTAGGAAATATGTTTCAACCTTCCGTCAGATCTATGCAGGAATAAGGATTTTAATCATCATTGGGTACTCCAAAATAGTGTACCTGTGTCAGACTAGGATCGAGAAATATGTTTCAAGCACCCACCAGAACTATGCTAGAGTAGAAATTTTAATCATCATTGGGTACTCCATTAGAGTGGCCATATGCCGGACATGTTTAGGAAATATGTTTCAAGCTCCCACCAGATGTATGCTAGAATTGAGATTTTAATCAATATTGTTTTCACCAAAATAGTGGCCTATGTCAGACATGTTTAGTAAATGTGATTCATGCTCCCACCAGAACAATGCTAGAATAACGATTTTAATCATCATTGAGTACTCCAGAAGTGTGGCCCTGTGTCAGACTAAGATTACGAGATATGTTTCAAGCTAGAACAGAGATTTTAATCAATCATTCCTTTGTAGCCTTGTGCCAATTGGGTTTTATAAATCGCGACATGCTAGGTTTCATCATATCGAGAAGTTAATCATTTTCACGTAAAGCTTTTTTGAACAAATTCAGTATTTGAATTTATTTTTGTCATTAAGTGTATTAAGAGGGTACCGTAGACTAAGATCTTAATGGGGATTGTCCTTTGCTGCTTAGGACAGAAAGTGCGGCGTCGAGTATGCAAACCAATGAAGGTTGGTGTACGGTAGAGTGAGGTAAAAAAAAAAAAAATGACGAATCCTATTTGTAAGCCGAAACATCCAAAAAGAAAAAGAAGATTCTTGCCTCCCTTTTCAGAAGGAAATTATAAATCGGGCTTAAGTCGTTTTGTGTTTGAAATGTGCCAGCAAACAACTTCACTCAGAAAGTATGATAAACATGCCGAAAATAAGTTAAATCTTTTAGCACAAACAAGTAGATCTTAACCGTAAACTCTTTTTGCGTGTTCGATATAGTCCAGGTTACTAGCAATAACTGAACAGAGCCAAAAAAACAAAAAACAAAAAAAAACTCCCCCCGCCCAACCTCAAAAAAAAAAAAAAAAAAAAAACAGCGGAGAAATAAGGATATCGCCTCCATTCACCGTTGAGTTCGACGATGAAGTTTCGGAGGGCAGGCCAAAACGAAATGTTGTAATAATGATAGTTCGCATATACATAATGTAAATAATAATGCAGAAACGTCTTGTCGCCTAGCTACTGATCTTTGAAGCAGTAAGAATGTTTTCGGCATCGTTTACACTCTTCAGCGATAACATTATTAGAAACACAAATTCTATAACAATTTCTAAAAAAATATCTATAACAGTTTCTCTTTTGTTTAAAAAAAAAAACACACGGTCCTATCATTTTTATACAGTTGACCACACTCTATACACTTTCCGTCCAAGCACTGCTATAAACAACGAAAGCGACTGAGAACGTTATAACAAGGTCAATCTGTGCCTCGTGGCTTCACCCTGCATAATTTTGTTCCTTTACCATAGCAAGAGATCGCGGTCAATTGCGAAACGGTTTCAATCTGTGTACTTTAGATCTTTTACTATAGCAACTGTTCCGATACTTTTTGATCAACCCGTGTATTTACTTTTTCTGCCTTCAATATGTGTTAGTCTATCTATTCATTGCTTATGTCTTATTTAATTAATTAATTATTGAATTGTAGAAACGTTTTGTCGCTTAGCTACTGATGTTTGAAGGCACAAGAATATTTTGCTTCGTCTTTGCTCTTCGGGGATAACAATATTAGAAACTCAAGGTTGCCTTAAAAACACATTGGTCCGATTACATAGGCATATACAAAGTATGTTGAATGAATGTAGAATAATGCCAAGGCAAGTCCATCGAAAATTCTTGAAAAAGCCGGAGGACAGAACGGCCTAAATGCTATGATTAAAAAAAAAAACAATAAAGATACATCAATCCGACTGTACAAAATTATAGAACCATTTGCTTTTTAAAGGGCAGCTTTTGACGATCTTTGTTTTGAGCTTCTAAAAACGTTATCTATGAAGAGTAAAAACGATGTAAAAACTATTTTTACTGCTTCAAAGATCAGTAGCTAAGCTTCAAGGCGTTTCTGCAATTCAAAAAAAAAAAAGATAATAAATTAAATAAGACATAAGCAATGCATGGATAGACTATCAAATATTGAAGGCATAAAAAAGCAAAAACTTTATCTGATCAAAAAGTATCGGGACATTTACTATGGTAAAGGAGCTAAAGTGCGCAGATCGAAACTACTTGAACTCTGTTGCGCATACGCACTAAGTTATAACATTCCCGCTCACATTGTTTATAAAGGTTCTTGGAAGGAAAGTGTGTAGAGTGTGATCGTCTCACCACGCCACAGAGGTTCTATTAGTAACTGT